AAATACCAGGGTGACCATGAGTCTATAAACATCATAGCAACAACCTCTTTTCATGTTATGTGTAAACTGGATTCCTAATTTAAATGCCCACCGTCACAAGATCAAAACCCACCAGAGACTGGATAAAGGCACCTCACCAGCCACATAAGAGCCAGAAAAGAAAGAAAGAAAAAAAAAAGAGTCACTGATCTGCTTGCTGTGCCATTTCTTGGGACAGATGCATAATTGGTAAGATATATTTTTATTACAGTTACTTTATTTCATACTTTCAGTATTTCACCCATTTAATATGAATTGATGTGGAATCTAAAAAAATTAACAAATGCAGAGCAGGATGGTCAAATAACACACATGCAACTCCCCTTGTGTGGTCCGGATAGTTTGTAAATGGGGGGAAAATATGAGAATGGTAGGAAATTTGCTACAAGATTTGGAAAAGTTTTACAAGATTGGAAAAGAAAAAATAAAGCAATACTAGCAATGTATTTATTATTATAAACGTAGTTTTGCTGTAATATCGCAGACATTGTAGTTTTGTATAAGGAAAGCAACTAGTTACACTATTAGTGGGTGAAGGAGGATTTACATGAAACGTGGCACATGACTACAAATTGTTCAACTATAACGAAAAACAGGTGTTCAAATTGAAACCCGTCCCTGTTCACAGAATCGTGAAGTCTGCCTGTCCATCAAGTTCTGTAAATGCATCTGTGATTTACCCTTTCATTTCGTCAACATTCCGCGATTTTCTACTCTACATTTTGTTCTTGACTACTGCCCAGAAGGGAAAGTCCATAGGGATACAGTCCGGTGACCCAATAGATTCAATATATTCAACATATGCAAATGTATACTTACTTTTGGACCACTGTGTGTGTGTATGTGATGCAATACGTGGTCCCCGCTATAACTGAAGGTATAAAAAAGTAACGTAATGTAGGGATTAACTTTAATAAAACTTTATATTTTATGGGCTGTTTAATGCCTGTTATAATTCGGTGTAAAAGATTTCCAAATAAAAATTGGATGAAATTATTTATTCCCTTTGTAACCGTGGCAGTAATTTGTGGGACTAATTGCAATATTAATTTTTGTTTACACTTTATTGTGGGACTTACGTTATTAAGCATTCTGTAAGCACTAAATAGACAGATAGGCCCATAAGCAACCTGATGCATCAGTACTTTAGTAGGATGTTTCATAATCAGGTGACGTCCATGTGAACCCTATTGGTAGTTCTAGATCACGGCGTCTTGTCATGCTCCAATAGTATATAGAAATTATTAAAATACAGGATGTCTATAAAGTCTTTTTACAATTTAAAAAATTTATTACAAAGGCAATTGATAAGATATCTTAATCAGACTTGAAATATATGGTAAGAGTAGAAACGTGTTAAACAGTTACTGTAGTAATAGTAAGTTATGAGATACACTTATTAAACACTTCTTGAAACATACCAGTTTCTAACATAAACATTCAAGGTAATTGTCAAAATATATATTATATATGTAATTCTCAAGACTATTGTTACAATTATAAAGGAGCTTCGTCTGTTTACGGAATATGGTTTTTATTAATTTCTCATGATATATCCAAATATATGCTTTTTATATGATTGCCCCCCCCCCCAAGTGGGTCATCAATTACAACGCTAAAATCCAGGTTTTGATTCCCCTTGGTGGACAGATATATATACACGCACACACACACAGGATGGCCCAAAAGTAGTTATACAGTTGATAATTGATAATGTATTTAAAGTAATTAAATTTAAATTAAAGTATAAAGTTGATAAATTATTTAACGGTGCTTTAAATGTGACATGGAATTATGTAAAAAATTAATTCCAACCTGAAATGCCATGCTCGTTCCTGCCATGTTAAAATATATTGTGTTAGTGAAGCAGACCATGGAGAGTTCGTGTATTTATTTATTTTTTCTTTTTATATACAGACCTGTTGTTCGTGGAAATTGTATGTTCCTATGGCAATATAATGATCCTCCCGATTTTATTTGCTTCACGAATAAACTGTAATCTTGTGATAACAACTCTACTTGAGATTTTTCTTTTAGCATACTTTATCCATACATTCCATAAAATACTGAGAGCTCGGTAACTTTTAGAGAAATCTAATTGATTTTATCGCATATGTCTCTAGATGTGCAATACATGCTGGTGTTCTTGATCGAATCACATCTAAAGACAATTTAGTTCCCTCTCTCTCTTAGAATTTAAAGTTTTGTAAGGTTGTTTATTGATTAAAAAATAGTGTGGTCTTAACTATCTATAGGAAGAATCGCATTTTTATTCGTGTTGTGTTTTCTCATTTAAAACGGTGTTTCTCAAGTGTTCGTACTTGTTAGCTTTATTTTGTAGCATTATATTAAGTAGCTTTAGGTGTAGTATATAGTTCATCTTTCAGATTGTTATTATTGTAACGTAATGACGATCAGTTCTAGTTTGTATAGTCTCTAGTGTAAATAACGAGTTTTTAATACCAGCCGACGCAAAACTATAAAAATACGGTAATCAGTAAAAATATTAGGCAGTATCCCTTGAGTAGGATTTTTATATTTCTGTGTATAGAAGTCTGTTGTAGTAGAGAAAGGGTCCTCCTTTAGGCTGTTCATGACCTGAACTCTTGTTATACGTCTGGTGGAATAGACCGCCTCTCCTATAAACCAGCTCTTTACGTACAGTGATCTTGTGTCTTGTTATCCTTTACATAGCGTTTGTAAATGTTTGAGTGTAGTTCGCTTCAATGCAGGTCATCTATCTCGGCTGGACATTTTCTCAAACCACTGACGTAATCATGCTGATACTAGTGTTATTTTTTCTTTATAGAATTCCATTAAGTTAGCAATGCAGTATTTTTCAGAACGTCGCTATACAATCAGGTATTCACGGCTTCCATAATTATCACTAGTGTTGGACCAAGTCCAACTTAGATAAAATAGGCCCACATCAGGATACCACGATCTGGATATTATCCAGAGGTGCCATCAAATCCACGCCCCGCCATCCGAAGCTAGAAATGATTGATGGAAGTTATAGTTCCTCGTGATCATTGTTATTCATCACAGATTTGACGCTTTGGCTACTATGACGAGTGGTGGCTTATGATGTGCAGCCCTCTCTAATCACAGTGAATGTTCTTGCCTACAGTCCTGAGTGATGGGTTTAATGTCGACTGGCATCAAAGTTTGCATGGACCGAAAATGGCGAGTCTAATGGTCCCCAATGATCTTCCATTGCTTTAGCAACTAGGCAGATCAAACATCATTCTGCAGCTAGTAACCATGTTTCTTTGGCTGTCAGTTACAAGCTTGTCTAATAATGCGCTATGAGGTTCAGATATAAATTGAGGCTGTGCTGTTTTATATTACTTTTGGTAATATAGTGTATATAGAGAGTCACAGTATCTGATACAGGAGTTTTGTGTTCATATTATACTCGGTGTAAAACGATAACACCTTTGTGGAATAAAGTATTTTTCGGCCATATGTAATAAGTTGAAATACATGACTTATCACATTTATGGAAACTTAAATATTAAAGCAAGATAGATCCCTTGTAATTTATAAACCAAAAAATATTTTTTCTACATCTTAGCTTAAAACTGATTGAACCTAGAATAGTTTTGTTTATTAACAGGCCCCCTCACGAGCCAGTGGGGAATATTTTTGTTGAAAAAAACAAAACTCCCCAATCCAGTTTTTTCATAATTTGAACTGATTTTTTTCACTTTTATTGGCTAAAAAGAAGACATTTTCTGCGCTCTTTTAGCGTTGGGGCTGCAAAAAGTGATTTGAAGTGGTAGAGTGACTAAAATCCGTCAGCGCATCACGAGCTTAACGGCCAAGCACAAGAAACATGGAATTCTTCAAATGACACACAGAGGTATTCAGTAACTGTTCAGAACCACCTTGGTAGATATTGTGCAGCAAACCAAGTACAATATTATTCCTGTAGCTGCTTTCAAAGTGTTCCTGTCTGCTCATCCTACTGCTGACTATCGTGATGCTTCGACCTTCCCTATCGAATCGCAGGTGAAATCGTTCGTATTTCAATTGAAAGCTAAACATCAAAAAGTGATAGCAGAAGCATAAAAGGTTGACAATTGCTTAACTAATGATGCTGAGAATGTGGCTTTATTGATATATACTGAATTTACTCCCAGCGGGTAGACCTTAGTACTAGCTAGTATGGAGACTTGTGAATGCTGTATTTCACTTAAAAAGTTATCAGTTAACAAACGAAAGTCTCGAAAAGATACGTCCAAAACCATCCTGTTTGGGAGTTTCCGGATTGAACTTACTTTTACTATTCAACAAATTGTAATGTAAAAACATCCCTTGACTTCCGAGGGACGTGTTAAGATATTGAAATACATCTTCTCAAAAACTGATAATGTAATACACTATTTATTCAGATCTGGACACGTTATTTTTTTTGTTTTGTTTTTATTGTCGTTGAACATATCCAGAGTTAAATAAATGTATCAAGCCAGACAATTAAACCCTGCTCGCGTACGTCTCGTATTCATCGTTCTTCCCTGCCCTGCCTTTTATCTCTTTAGTCCCACTTTGGTGACGTCGTGGGACCTTTGGTTAAGCGTAGCTGTAGATGTTGGCAAAACCAAGCATTTGCTTCTTCCTTCGATCAGTAAAGACGCTTTCGTTAACTTGACGAACTACAACATAATTAATCACGAACGTGACAGTGCTAAGTCATCCCTGTTTCATTCCTCTGGTTTTTATCAGTATTAAAAGCTTGGAGAAAGAAGCAGACTTCGACCCTGGGAAATTCTTAAGATTCTAGAGATACAATGCCAGGTGTCAAATGGCATTGTCTCGCCGAGCCTACAAACGACAGACGGTCTTTTCATCTCACGCATATAAGTACAAGCTGATTTTCTTTATTATTTTTTACGTCAAGTGCTGTTTTTTTATAGTGTATTGTAATTTGAATAAACTGGGCTTTTCTTTGAACTTAGGAACGTCGAGAGCGTGAGCAACAGGATTTAGAGTATGCAAAGGAAATGGCAGATGAAGATGATGAGGGGTTTCCATAGCAACATCAAGATAATCCTTCTCCTTGGGAAGATTTGTTCCAGAAAGACCAGTTTCCATGGTGACAGGAGATTTGTTTAGCTAGTTTGATAAGTTGTACTACTATAATAGTACTGAAAACAATAAATTCTTTATGGCAAATGTTGGTTTGGATTCTCTTTTTTTTTCTATAAATATATTATTTGAACTTGGATAAAAACAAGATAAAGTGATTGGTTAGCTTCTCAGTAAATACTTAGGGATGATAGTTAAATATTAAATATACCAAGTGATTTGTAATACAAATATATGTTTGTGTGCAGTTATTATTACTTTATGAAAGAAAAAAAAATAAAAGAGAGAGAGTGTTAGGTACATATGGAACAAGCTGATCAAGACCCTTTTTATTATCTTTCATTAAATATGAAAACCGAAGAAAGAAATGTTACAACATCTCTATCACAATTTAAATCGAAGTACCGATTCCAACTGATAAAATAACATACGATGTATTTTTCGATTCCAATTCAAAACCCAGTTAAAATATAAATGCAAGATCAGAAAGTATTAAACAGCACCCGTCTACAATTCTTGGGATACTGTATTCGAAGTACAGACATTTAAATTTTTCTTGATACACGTGTTTCGTTGTCAGAATCTTTACTGCAAACTGTTCTTTCTCTTGATGCACGTGTTTCGTTGTCGGAATCTTTACTGCAAACTGTTCTTTCTCTTGATGCACGTGTTTCGTTGTCAGAATCTTTACTGCAAACTGTTCTTTCTCTTGATACACGTGTTTCGTTGTCAGAGGCGATTTTAAACTGTATGTCACAACAACCTATTTTGATTTAAAAACATTTTTGTACATTTGATGCTTTTCAGCTTATCCTTATATCTTAAGTTACTAAATACACAATATTTGTTTTTCGTGATCGATAATTCATGGTATGCATTTCTTCACATATTTTGTATGTGTGTGTCCATTTCGACTTTTAATATTACATTTTCATTGATCACGTGATCAAAATGGCATAAAATAAAGTTCGAACCTCTTCTCATCCCTAACTGAAATCCTCTGTTGCAATATAGGCGCAGCTCCACCTTGCAGAATTTAGAATTTTGTTTTCAATATCTACAAAAGACTTGTTTGCTTTAGTTAGTATGTGCAGCTAGGGCCATGTTGTTTGTTGCTAGGTTACCCAAACTTTACAAAAGTTGGGAAAGGTTACACGTTTCTTGGTAAACACCAGTTTTTAACGCAAATTTCAAATGTACTAACAGATTACACTGCTCTATAAATCGATAAGTCACAAAACAAGAAACCTAATAAACCAAGTTTCTTTTATTTTTCAGAGATTCGTTTGCGCTTATCTTACTTTCACCGAAAATAATAATATTGTAAAGGATAAATTTTTAAGTGTACTTTGATCGAGGACGGTATTGGGTTCATGGGTGAAGACGTACTTAACGGTTTCTTATTTACGTTAGTTTCCTCCAATGAATGAACACTTCCTTCCGCTAATCAGTCTAAGACATTCTTGTGGTTTCATTGGCCCGTTTTATCCTAAATAAGCCACCTCATTTGTCACACATGTGTAGGTACATTAATACAGGCCCCGCCTTCAACGTTGCAGTTAGAAGAGATGTATGGTATCTGGGGGACAGAAACGGGGACTAGTCTGACAAGCTTTCACTTGAGTAGGGCAGCCTCACGTGCACTCACTTTATACAATAGATATCATCCGATCCATCTTGTAGGGACCAACCATAAATATACTAAGTTTAACAAAATTTTAACACAAGAATAATTAGTATAACAGAAGAAAACTGCATATGATGGGCATAATTTTAATTGTCTGTAGAAATAAATACAGAAGAATCACCTTCCAGTATCTATCAGTCGTGTAATTCACACTGAACGTGTTACTTCAGTAGTAAACCCACAACAAACGTAAATACATTTCTGGTATTTTTCAGTAATGTGATGCTTGTCTTCTCTGAAGATAAGAATTAGCTTCCTCCATGTTTCAGTGGTGTGATAAAATTTAGTAGTGGACCCTTCTATAAACAGGAATTAGCTTCCTCCATGTTTCAGTGGTGTGATGTTTGTCTTCTCTGAAGATAAAATTTAGTAGTGGACCCTCCTATAAACAGGAATTAGCTTCCTCCATGTTTCAGTGGTGTGATGTTTGTCTTCTCTGAAGATAAAATTTAGTAGTGGACCCTCCTATAAACAGGAATTAGCTTCCTCCATGTTTCAGTGGTGTGATGTTTATCTTCTCTGAAGATAAAATTTAGTAGTGGACCCTCCTATAAACAGGAATTAGCTTCCTCCATTTTTCAGTGGTGTGATTTTTGTCTTCTCTGAAGATAAGAATTTGCTTTCTCCATGTTTAAGTGGCGTGATGTTTGTCTTCTCTGAAGATAAAATTTAGAAGTGGACCCTCCTAAAAACAAGAATTGGCTTCCTCCATGTTTCAGTGATGTGATGTTTGTCTTCTATGAATATTTAGTAATACAACCTCTAGAGATAAGAATCAGCTTTCGGTACGTTTGAGTTTCGTGATTTGTCTTCTCTGAAGGCAGTGTTTACCTGAATAAAAAAAGGAAAAGCTTGAGACTGCATAAAATACCTACCTACAACATAATGAATTGGTATTAATAAAACTAAAAGTTTTGAATGCTAAATTTTCATTTTAAGTATGACTCTTTAACTTTTTTTTAAGTCGGGATTTTATATTGAAAACTTCTACATTTGCAACTCTAAAAAGTCAGATTGGGCGTCTCGTGTCATTAATTATATCAGCTAATTATAAACTGAATCGCAGCATTGTTTGTATCGCGAGGTAATTCTTACAAGTACTTTTCGAATATAAGTTCCAAAGAACAGTTTGCAGTAAAGATTCTGACAACGAAACACGTGTATCAAGAGAAAGTTTGTATCCAAACTATAATACTGCAGTATAGTGCGACTCTATAAAAGAAAGTGGGCTCCCAGGTGGCTCAGCGGGGCTTGTAGTACTAAAATTCGGGGTTTGATCCCTGTTGTATGCACAGCGCAGATAGTTTATTATGAAATTTGGGCTTTGTAAAATAAAATGTTTTAATATGGAAAGAAGCTGTTATATACAACTTTGAGTAGACTTTGGTTGTAATTATAAATTATATTTGAACATAAAGCAATTGGTGTCCTTTGTCACATCTAAATTATATTATTATTTCATACATTTTTACCTTAAACTTTTATAGAAGCATGTATAATTTAACAAACCTTTACAATGATGCCTCAGTAATACTTCTTAACAAAACAGTCTCGTGTAAATAAATATATAGTAAAATAAAGAAGAGTGGTCACAGAAATGCCTTTAACAAAAACTCGCATGCTTGTTTCTGCCTTTTAAGATACTGATAATTTGTGAGGCATGATTTGTTAACATTTTTGTAAATCGTACTGTCAGTTGTATTTTGGAATTCGTAAGTAACATATTGAATATTACCGCCCAAAAAAAATCTTAAATGCAAACTGTTATTCATTCAGTTAAAACTAAAGATTTTTTCCAATATCTTGGTCAATAGAAATTATTAAATAAGTAACAGTGAACAACTTGCAAAAACCGTAAGTCGGGAAGAAAAGAAGCGACCGAAACCCTTACAGAATTTCTAATCTACTGCTATTTCTAATTGAAACTGTCATAAGCTTTAAGAATAGTAGGGGGAACATTTGTAAATCACGATAAAGTAACATGTAACACTCGGAAAACATTCGCATGCAAATTCTAATTAATATTCATCTTCAAATGTTAACTACATATAATAGAAAAAAATTATGTTATGCAAGTTTTACGGGTAAATTATACAAGTAATACTGAAATACCTTTCATTACTACACTTCAATTATACAAGTAATACTGAAATACCTTTCATTACTACATTTCAATTATACAA